TTTGTTGCACCTGGAGGGAAGAACGTATGGGAGAGGAAGGTGCGCGGGGCGCAAGCCGGGCGGGCGGGCAGGCTGGGGCGCCGTCTCAGGGGAACCGGGGACACGGGAGGGGGCCGAGCCGGGCCGCAGCGGAGGCCAGGTCTGCTGCGAGGCCGCACTTCTCCCTCCTCCGGGATGAGCTCGACCTTCCGAAGCTCGCAGGCCCCTCCCTGACACGCTTCCACCCCTTTTTCCCTTCTCGGCCCTGGGTGGGCTGCCCTCCCAGGGGCGGAGGGCCGCTCCTCCCTTTCTTCCCCGCCTTCTCCCATCCCCTGGCCGACGTCCACCCCTGAGGAGTCCCAGGCATCGCCTCCCCCAACCCCCCAGCCCCGGCTTCCATCTGCATGCTCTGCTCACCCCGGGCTCGCCCCAGGCTACCGCTTATCCAGTCTCTAACCCAGCCTAGAAAGAAAGAGGCGCTGGGGAAGCCCAGCCCTGGGTCTGAGTCTCTGCCTCGCACCTACTTGGCTCCGTGACCTTGAGCCAAGCGCTACCTGCGGAAGCTGTTTCCCAGGCTGTACTGTTGGGGGCCGCATAGTTGGCCCCCAGTATTGGTGGTTGGAGGCCGAATGGAAAGGGCGGAGATGTTTCTCCAGGAACCATTGGCAGGGTGCTGCCCTCCCGCCGACGCCCCCACCTCCGTCCCGCCGTCTCCCTGCACCAAACCCAATGCCTGCCATCAATATTGGCTGGGAGGATGACTCTCATCTCAACCTCTTCAGCTCCTTCTCCCTTCCTGGGGCTTAAAGCTTGGTACTGCACTACAGTTAGGGTGTGAAGACCCCCCAAAGTTCCCTCTACCCAAAGCAGGGTCAGGTCTCCTTCCCTGGGTTTCTTCAGCCATCACTCAGGCACACCTAGTCCCAACTATGCCAGCCCCTTCAGCTCTGCCCTCCCCTGGGGCTACCGCCAGTCGTCCCACCAGGCCCCTGAAGGCCTACTTGGAGCAAGGGCCCACTTCACCATCACCCCTGCCTCAGCACCCTGGGTCCTCATGGAGGGGCAGGCGGTGGCCTGGGGGCCTGCTGTGTGACCTGGCAAGCCTTACCCTCTCTAAGGTTCAGTCTCCCCATCTATACAGTGAGGAAGGGCAGGCCTGGGGGATCTTCCAGGGCCCACTCAGCTCTAGTGGTGCCAGGCCCCAAGGATGACTAAGCATGACTAGTGGCCAGCTTGTGGAGGTGCCAGGTCTCCCTGGAGCAGGTGTCTGAGAGTGTCCAGCTCTGCAGCCCCTGCCCCTAGCCAGATCAGGACATAGCCAAGGCTTATTTGGAGCCAGCACCTCTGGGCTTCCTGCCCCTCCCCTACCAGGGGCTTCAGCACAGAACGTACCAATCCAGCCCTCTCCGATCCCTACCTGGACTTGAAGGGTCTTCTGAGTATCTTTCCCTGGGCCGGCAGGGGAGGAAAGGGGGCTGTGACAAGAGTGTCACCCGCTGCCTTATTTCTAAATCTTGCTGCTTTCTTTCATTTATCTTGAGTTGAAAAATGCTAGAGTTGAAGGGCGGACATCTGATCCTCATCTTCAGTTTACAGATAGGAAAATTGAGATCCGGAGAGGCTTGGTAATTTAGCCAAGGTCTCAGCAAGATGCTCAGACCTTCCTTCTTTTTCCTTCTACTGGGCACAGTGACTGCCCAGCCTGGGTGCTGTGTGTGTGCACAAGGATTTGTGCAGGTGGACTTGGGGTTGGCAGGGCAGCCTGGGCCTGCACCAAACTGTAACTCCTCTAAGAATGGTTCCTGGCTTCCTTTCCACCCCTGCAGGAAGCGAGTTGCCTGTGTGTGCGAGCTGCGGCCAGAGGATCTATGACGGCCAGTACCTCCAGGCCTTGAACACTGACTGGCACGCAGACTGCTTCAGGTAAGGTGGGCTGGCCAAGGCCTGCCAGAGACAAGAGGCTGGGCAAACAGTCTGGGAGAGCTGGCTATTACCCCTGGTGCTGTTTTGGTTGTGACTTCTAGCAAGTCCTTGGCCTCAGTTTCCCTAACTGTGAAATGAGGCATTTAGACTAGAAGATCCCTAAAGGTCTCTCTGTTTTGTCATTTGGGACCCCTAAGGAGAGGAGGGGAGAAACCTGCCTTTCCATCAGTATTACTAAGGCCTGCAGAACCTAGGCACAAGGGGAGGAGGGGAAAAAGCAGTGCACCCTTGTCTTCTAGGTGTTCATGTTCCAGGGGAGGAAGGAAGACAAACTCAGCCTTGGAGGACGCTGGGCCTCCTTCACCAGTCCCTGGGCTGGTTGTAAAGATGCATAGGCCAGTATACATATCCCAAACACCAATTCCCAAGTGTTGGAGAGGTCAGGGCTTCTGGGACCTAAAGGTGGCCCAGCAACCCAGTAGGACCAGAATGAGAAGCGGGCAAGGGATAGCTTTAGAGATGGCTCTAGAGCCAGAGTTGGGGGTCTCAAAGGAGGTGAGATTTCCCATGTGGAGAAGTATGGCAGGAAGGAATTTCAAGCAGAGGACCCAGCAGGTGCAAAGGGTGGAATGGTGACAGGGCCTGCCCCAACCAGTGAACAGCAGTGTTCAGGTGGAAAAGCACTGCAAAGAAGGGAAGATAAAGTTGGGAGGCCCAGCCCAGGTCATCGGGGCATTAACCACCAATTGATGGAATTTATTTTATAGACAGTGGGAACCTCTAACAAGGTTCTTTTTTTTCTTTCTTTCTTTCTTTTTTTTTTTTTAAGAGTAATGTCTAACATTTTCTACAGTTTAATAAGGGCCAGGCACTGGGGCAAGGAGTTTATATAGTTAGATACTGCATTCTCTCTATCAGTTGAGACACAGAGAGGTTAATTTATTTTACCAGAGTCACACAGCCAGTGAATGAAATGAACATGCAGTACCCACACTGGCTGGTGAGGCCAGAAGAGAGGCAGGCACCATGCCCTCAGGTTTCCAGGTAGGTAGGTGATCAGCAGAGGACTGTCAAGAGGCAGAGAAAACCACGTGCACAGAGAGGGAGCTGGGACAGCATGGGCAATCGAGGGAAGAGGAACAGCTTGTTTGGTTGGAACAGAGGGAGTCGAGGAATGCAGTGAGAAGGTAAACTTGGAATTTATTTATGAAGAACCCTGAACGCAAAGATAAGGACCTTCTGAGGGCAGTAGGGAGCCAGCACAGGGATGCAGAAAGCAGAAAGCAGGGGAGGGGCATGGGCAGAAGTGCTACTGAAAAGTGCCATCACAGTGGAAGATGGTAACTTGGCAGAGAGGGACTGTCACAATAGTTCAGGAATCTGTACTCAAGGCCTGACCTAGGACAGTGACTAAAAGTGGAGAGAATTGCAGACATAAAGGGGCAATATTTGGCAAGATTAGACATATTAGCCACCACTTACTGAGTACTCCTAATGTTATTTCATTAAGCCTTCACCATAACCAAATGAGATACCATTATTTGCCCAGCTTACACATGAGAAATGGTGTTTCAAAGAAATCAAGTTACTTACTGAAAGTTGCAACAGCTAGAGCTGGGACTAGAACCTATGTCTTTCTCATTCCAAACCACTGCAGAGTTGAAAAGGTGAGGGGTCTGAGTGCTAGGGAGGGCAATGGTCTGTTGGGTCTGCTGGAGTTGGGGGCTGGGTTGGTGATAAATTGTGCCCTGTACATATTGAGTTGGAGGTGCAGCGGACTATCCAAAATGGTAGTGCCCTGCCCAGAGCTGGCTGAGGTGGTTTGAGTCTGGTCAGAGGTGGGAAGGCCAGAAAGAGTGGCCCACTTAGCGCTGGTGGATGAGATTTGGGATGGGACCAAGAGAAATCGGGGGAAGAACTTTAGGGGCCCCTATGCCTGGGGTTGGGGGAGCGATGGGGCCTTGGGAAACAAGAGAGAGAGCCAGGAGTGTGGCCATAGATGCCACAGGACAGATGTAGTGGGACAGACTCATCGAACCCAGTTTTGGAGGTTCCCCACCCTGCATAACCAGGAGAGCGGTGAGGCCCCTGGTGGAGGGAGTAGGGAGAAGACATGTTCTGGCTGTCTGTGGTATGACAAGCACAGGGAAGGCTCCCACAGTGAGGAAGGCCCACAGGCAGTAAGAGCCACAGTTTCTACAGTGCAGCTTACATGAGCATTCCTGGCTCAGTGGTGTGTGGTTCTCCCAAGAGCCCCCAAAACTGGGTGAGGCCAACAGTGTCCTCATCCCATGACAGGAAAGCAGTTCAGGCCGGAGTCAGTGCTTGCCTGGGTCCCATAGCTAATAGGCAGCCAGCTGACTCTCAGCAGGACTCTCAAGGCCCTAGACCCTGCTTGGTTTCTCCCTGGAAGGATCTCAGTGCCATGAAGTGGGGTTGGCACCAGCCCCTGGACTCTGAGGCCTTGCAGTGGGAGAGTTGCAGGTACACAGGATGCTTCTGGCATTAGCACTGGGGGTCATTGTCACCTTAGGGCCCGCCCCTTTCTCTTTTCCAGGGGTCCCACCCACTGTGGGCCCCACCTCCTAGAAGGCTATGGCCAGGCCCAGAGTAGTCTAGGCTTCCTTTAGGCCCAGCAGGGAGCTTGTAGCCCATGAGCACTGGTGCTGCTTTAGCAAGGAAGAGCTTGCAGGCAAGGAGGACAGACTGTCCATGAAAGTTGACCTCTGTTCCCTTGGGGGCAGCTCTGGAAGAAGCAGCTGCTTTTGAGCTTTTCCCTGTCCCCAGAGAGCCCTGAGCCCCCAGTGCCTTTGTCAAAGCAGAGGCTGAGGAGCATGGAAGGTGCCTTCTAGGGTGTGTGGGGCTGAGGGCAGAGTGCCTGCCACAGCCTCCCTACCTGCACCAGAGCCCCGGCAGAAGGCTCTTCAGTTGCTTCCTGTTACGCGCTCAGACCAAGTCCTCTCATATCCACATTGCTGCATTCTCCTCCTATGCTGGGCGGCCACACTGGCCCCACCCTCTGCAGCCTCCAATCCTGAGTGCCTGGAGTAGGATGGGGAAGCAGCTGGTTGGCCCACTCCTGCTCTCCCATAGGCCTCCAGATCCCCTGCTCTGGGGACCTGCAAAGGATGCTGGCCTCGACCCTGAGAAGAAGGCGCTTCCTTAGAGGGGCCAAGTAAGTGGAAAGCCCCTTCCCCATCTGTTCCAGGCCTCAGGCAGGGCCCCTGGTACGAGGGCTGGGGCTAGAGGCAACTGTAGGACAGTCTGAACTGGGCCCTGGCTGTGGGGCAGGAGAACTGAAACTCCTGGTCACTGTTGGCTTCCTGTTGAGGGGAATCGGGCTGCTGCTGGCCTTTCCGATACAGTCTTCTCATTAGGCTGGTTCTCCAGCTGCTCTTTCTTAACATCTGGTGTCCAGAGATGTGGCCATAGGTAGAGATGGACCTGTCATTGCAGAGGTTGCCACTGCCTCCTAGCCCAGCCCTCTCATGCCTTCCCCAGGACCTGAGCCTGGCTTTGTCTTCTCCTGCTCCTGTATGGGGTGGACAGATGACTGTTTCCTAGGAGTTCCTCTCTGACCTACTAGCCAGTTTTACACACCCTCAGTACCTGGCACTCCTCTCTTAACATCCTTTTGGGGGCAGGGGCATGTGTAGGGGACCCCGAAGAGCCAGGCCTACCTGCTCCACCTGCTTCCTCTGACTCCTTGCCAGATATGAAGGAATGGACAGGGTCAGGGCCTCCTGGGTGCCTTCCATCAGCAAAGGTCCATTGAGCCCCCAAGTGCCAGCCACCAGCCGCTGTTTGAGCCTGAGCTAGATCGCCTGTCTGAGACGGAGGTCTCGTGGCCACTGTCAGAGATGAAGCCCGGTTGGAGTGCCCTGGAGCAGTTCTGAGAAAGCTGGGGGTGGGAACACCTCCATGTCGAGTGCACAGGAACCACTTATGTTTTCTTTGGGGTCTAGTGTTTATGGATGCCTGGCTTGGGACCTCAGACAGCCTGAAGGTTAATCATAGAGACTGGTGGGCCAACAAAGGTTGGTAGTACAGGCTTCATGGGGGCAGGCACCCTAGCCGGGCCTCTGAGCAAGCTTCAAGGAAGTGGTCACTAGGTTGCAGTTGCACTCACAGAGCCCTTGGGTGAGTCAGCGTTGGGTCTTCCAGGACTGCTAAGGTGATGAATGTTTGTGAAGGAGTGAAGGAGGAGGAGTTTGCGGGCGGATGAAGAGCCTTCTCTCCCCTGGAGGAAAGCAGCTGCTTCTGATCCTCCACCAACCTACCCACCCACGGGAAGACAGGCGGGGTCCTGCTTCCTGCAGCCTGGCAGCCTGGAAATGAGGGGGAGACTCCTGTGGTGACACTCCTGTGACGACGCAATGTGTCTGGTCCGTGGAAGGGCGAAGTGAATCACTGATCAGCACAGGCTGTGGGAGGACTCCTCAAGGTCATGGTGTGGTGCCTGCACTGCCTCTTTGTAAAGCCTGCTACACACCTTCCTGCTAAGTGAAAGTTAAAGCCCCTGGGGATGTATGCTGGGGTTCTCTCCCCATCCCTGGGTGTCCTCCCTTCATTGGGGCCCCAGCAGTGAGATACCTGCCCCCTGCTGGCACCCAGGGCTAGGGCAGGAGTGTGGGCGGGGGCCTGCAGGGACAGCAGATGACATCATGGCTCTGGTCCAGCTGCTGCTTCCGCTGCCTCCTCTCACATCCCAGGGCGGCTTCCTGAGGCCCTCCCTCTCCAGTCCCCTCTTTCACAGGGGGTAGTGAAAGAGGAAAGACCTCATCAGACCCCTTCTTCCTGGGTGCACCCCCACCCGTTCTGAACCCAGGCATTTTGTGCCTTAACCTGCTCCCTCCCAGCTCCTGGCTGTGGTCCCCTGCCCCTCCCATCAGGCTCCCAGACAATGGGGAACTAGCTGGATCCTCTTAAAGGGACAGTGTCCCACCAGTACTGTTGCTGCTATCCTCTCCCTCTTCCTCCTCCTCCTCCTCCTCCTCCTCACTCATCCCCAGTTCCCTCGTTAAGGAGCAGTCATTGAGAGCAGGCTGTAGTAGTGTGGAGGGTTCCCTAGGGAATAGGGCTGTGTTAGTCAGGTCACAGTCCTACATGCCATCCTTTTTCCTGAATCTTTTCCCTACTGAGCCATAACCTCTGAGCCTGGGTCCTTCCTGTCCCTATGTGACCTTGGCATATCACCCAGCAGGCCCAAACAGCAGCAGAGCTAGACAGATTCTCTGCACATGTATGCTCTGGCCCCTAGGACTCTGGTTCGGAGTCTCGAAAAAATGTCCCTGGGGATTCACTAGGGATCTGAATTTCTGTATTTGCTCATCCTGACCAACTGGGCTGCTGGTGGCCACCCCACTGGGATGGACACTTGGGTAGAAAGAAGCCAGGCATGTTGATCTAGCTCCAGGCCTGTGGGATGACACCTAGAAGCTGGCACTTCATTCCTCCTCATTTGTCCTTTAGGGCCCCACCCCCAGCCAGGCCTCCCTGGTAGTCCTTGGTGATAGGACAGGGTGATACTGGCCCTGATGACCCTGTACATCCAGGCATTCTCCATACAGCATGACTGCTTTTCTGAGGGAAGGTGTGGAGACTAAGGCTCTGGTTGAGTGGAGGGAGGGGCTATGCTGTGCTGTCCCTTAAACCCCCTCCCTTCTTGTGACTGACAGAACCTGTAGGGCTGACTAGGAAACCAGCAGATCCCCTGTTTTGACTGATCCTGGCTGGTCTTTACTGAGTTGAACTCCTGCCTCATATTTAAGTGGAGCAGGGAGTAGTTTGTGTAACCTTGGGCAGTTCATACACTCTGAAATTCATCTGCCTCATCTCTAGATTAAGGACGCCCATGCCTGCCTCATGGTGGCCTGTGAGGATTAAATAAATTTAGCTAAGACAATGGGAAGGTGCTAGCGTTTAGTAGGTCTTCACAGCTCCAAGAGATCACTTTTTATCTCCATCAGCTGGCTCAAGATGCCTCCATATTGCTGGGGGTGATGGAAGCAGGGAAGGACAAGGATGCAGACATCTTTTTCTAATTCTCATAAAGGTGCCTATAGACTATGGCAAGGCCCAGCTCTGGAGAAGGGGGAGGAGTGAGCCATACTAAGCCCCACCTTCTCTTTCACCCAGGTGTTGTGAATGCAGTGCCTCCCTCTCACACCAGTACTATGAGAAGGATGGGCAGCTGTTTTGCAAGAAGGACTATTGGGCCCGCTATGGCGAGTCTTGCCACGGGTGCTCAGAGCACATCACCAAAGGGCTGGTCATGGTGAGCACACCCTCCCCCACTTATACACCTCGCCTCTGTGTGTGTGTGTGTGTGTGTCTCTCTCTCTCTCTCTCTCTCTCTCTCTCTCTCTCTCTCTCTCTCTCTCTCTCTCTCTCTCTCTCTCTCTCTCTCTCTCTCTCTCTCTCTCTCTCTCTCTCTCTCTCTCTCTCTCTCTCTCTCTCTCTCTCTCTCTCTCTCTCCCCCTCTCTCCCCTCACGGGTTTACCTTCTCTAGATCTCTCTCTTGTTCTTTTCATTGGTACTCTAATTCCACCATGACTTCATAGCCTGTTTGTCTATATCCCTAAGCCCCCGATCTTAAAAGCCAGCTCTGTCCGGGATCTCAGCATCTGGCCGACCAGGCTCCCAAAGTTTTTTGGGGCTGCCCTTCTGAGAGGGGAAGAGATAGGGGGGCTGAAGGTGGCTGCTAAGCTGGTTTGTCCTCCCCACACACCCTGCCAGGTGGCCGGGGAGCTGAAGTACCACCCCGAGTGCTTCATCTGCCTCACATGCGGGACTTTCATCGGTGATGGGGACACCTACACGCTGGTGGAGCACTCCAAGCTGTACTGGTGAGTGGCCTGGCCCCTCCCCAAGCCTGCTGTGTCCACCTGTACCACAAGTCTCCCACACCAGGGCCCTTTCTCTGCCCATGTGGGGTCAGTCATTAATAAAAGTGATGGTGTAGAAGTGAATAGGAGATATGACACAAGAGTCACATGGAGAAAGTCTCAGATGTCAGCTTTCTTACCGATATATCACTGCAGTGCAATTCTGGCACCAGCCACCAGAGTTAACACCAACTCTACCAGTTCAGGATCCAGTACCCAAGACCACTCTCACTTCAGACTAATTCAGAGGTTCCCAGGCCACTCCCACTTCAGACCAGCTGGCTACAGATCAGGGATTCCCACAGTCTCTCAGGTTTGATAATTCACTAAATGACTCAAAACTCAGGAAAGTACTATACTTAGGATTAATTATTTTTATAAAGGGTACAAATTAGGACCAACCAGATGAAAAGATATGAAAGGCAAGGTCTGAGAGGGTCCCAAATGCAGAGGTTCTGTGCATTTTCTCTATGGAATCAGGACATGTGACCCCACTCCTGGAATCACCAGAGTTTTTATTGGAGTTTCATTATGTAGGCAGAATTTATTGACTCTGGGCACATGATTGAACTCAATCTCCAGACTCCCTCCTCTCCTCCGTGTTGGACTAGGTCAAAGCCCCAACCTTCTAATCACATAGTTAGTCTTTCTGGTGCCTAGCCGCCATCCTGAGTTATCTTATTAACATAAACTCAGGTGTGGTCTCAGGGGCTCAGGAAAAACAAAGGCACTCTTATTTCAAGGATTTAGAGCCTCTTACCCAAACAGGTTCTTTATTATACAGTGCTGATAAAGCTGGATTCCAGGGCAGCATGGCTTGATCCCAAATGGACTTTTAATGACTTACTCCTGAATTGGATTTATCCCTAGGCCTTTTTCTGCACAGCTTACAACTTAACAGAGAGCAGACAAACAGAATGACTGAGTGTCAGAAAGGGGCAGGGCTGGACCTACTCAGTTCCTGTTCCCAGTCCCATTGGGCAGCTAAGACCCACCTCCTTCTATGAGGAGCAGTAAGGGTGGAGGAGAAAAGAGCCTGGGACTGTGGGGTGGGGCGGACATGATTCTGGTGATTGTGCTAATGTTCTTTTCTTCCCACTCTTTGGATCCCCTCTGCCTGTGGCTCTTGCAGCGGGCACTGCTACTACCAGACCGTGGTGACTCCCGTCATCGAGCAGATCCTGCCTGACTCCCCCGGCTCTCACCTGCCCCACACAGTCACCCTAGTATCTATCCCAGCCTCAGCTCATGGCAAACGTGGCCTCTCGGTCTCCATTGACCCCCCTCATGGTCCGCCAGGTTGTGGCACAGAGCACTCGCACACCGTCCGCGTCCAAGGGTGAGTGGCTGGCCTGCTAAGGCTGCAGCTGGTATGGCTTTGGCCATGGATGCTCTATCTAGATGGGTGGCTGACTGGGGCTGGGGGCTCTGAGAATGGGTGAGCATTTACATACAGATCAAGCCCAGCTCCAACAGCCTGGTATACTAAATGCCTGGTCCAGTCATTCCTCTAAAAACCATTACAAGTGCTAGATAAAACATTTTAAAATGTTTTCTTTAATCTATGTATGATCCAATAATAAAGAGGAGTAACCAGGCCAGGAATAAGTGAAGGAGGGAGCCCAGGGGTGTCAGCAGAATACTGAAGGCAGCCATGTTTTGAGGACAAATCTAAATTGAGTGAACTTAAACTTCAATTTTCAAGTACTTTCATGGCTGGGCCTCTCAGAGCCTTGACCTGCTAGGGAAGCTAGTCTAATAAGAGAACTGCTCTCTCCTCCATTTAGCTAGAATTCCAAAAGAGCTTTCAAGGTGAGGATGAATGAGAAATAAACCACACCTTCCATAAGCACCCCACCACCACCACCAAGAACTGTAAAATAAACTGATTTGAACCCGAACAGAAGAGGAGAGGGAGGGAATCTGAGAATTCATAAACTTGGGATTGCAAACCAAATTTGTGTGCCTGGGTGGTTCAAAAAACCTCAAGGCAAAATCATAAGCATTTAAAGTACTTCCCAACTGGTAGTTCTCCCAGACCCTGACAGAATCAGATGCAGATCTTTTCTGAAGAAACACACCTCCAGGCTTCATTTGATTTACTTAGATTAGTGTCCCAAGAAAGATGAGCAATTCAGTCAAAAGTTACTGAACCTATAAGGAAACAAGGCACTGTGAGCAAGAGTCAGCAGAAACAACAAGAAGGAGAGCCAGACCTATAAAACTTTCTGATATTTGAATTATCAGAAACAATATAAAATAATTTTGCTCAGTGTGTTTTAATAAGAGTTGCTTGAAAAATGAGTGAAGAGTAATGAATTTGGAAAAGAACCAAATATAACCTCTAGAAATGAAATATATAATTATTAAAGTGAAAATCTGAACATAAGCATTTAACAACAGAGTAAGGTTTAAAACAGCTGAAGAGAGAAGCAGAGACAAAAAGATGAAAACTGTGAGAGGTTAAGACACATGGAGAACAGAGTGGTAGGATCTGATCATCTATTTGGAATCCCAGGAAAAGAAAGAGACAAGGGAAGGGAGGCAATATTTGAAGATGTAATGGCTGAGAACTTAGACACCAATCCACAGACTCAAGCCCAGTAAATCCCAAACAGCAAAATAAAAAGAAATCCACCTGTGGATCACCTCATCTAGTGAAACTAGGACACCAAAGGCACACACCAAAAAAAAAAAGACGTTCAAAGTGGCCATAGAAAATAGACAAATTTCCTTCAAGAAAGGACAATTAGACTGACAGCTGATTTCTCAGCAGAAACCATGAAAGCCAGAAATTAGTGAAATGATATATTCAATGCACTCAGCAAAAAAATAACCATCAACCTAGAATTCCATATTTGATTAAAATATTCTTCAAGAATGAGGGTGAAATAGACATATTAAGGCAGACAAAAACTGAAATTTCATACTAACAGATCTTCCCTAAAGAAAATTCTAAAGGATGCAGAAAAGGTCTGAGATGCAAGAAGGACTGAAGATTAGAGAACCAGCCCAGTTGCCAACACTGTGACACTGAGTAACTCCCTGTCTTCTCTGGGCTTTGGGGTCTTTGAACAGTGAGGACGTAGGATACCTTCAAGCCTTCTAAGATTTCTCCTGGGCCTCACTGACTCCTTGAGAAGTAGTTTTAAATGTCTCCCATGTCCCCATGTCCGGACGTGGCAGCAAGTATCAGCTTCCATTGGATTCAGAAAATTTATACACCTGCCGGGTACCAGGCACCATGCCTAAGAGCTGGTGAGAAGTGAAGATGGTACTTGGGAAGGAGGATGCTGTCAGGCTTGACTCTGCATCTCTACCCTGACCTTGAGCAGCTGCCTCACATACACAAGTAAGCAGACAGACTGGTGAGAGAGATGGGGAAACTCCCAGACCAGCTGGTCTCTGACAGCCACGCAGAATTTGAGAAACGGAAAGCCAGTGACACCTCCCCCCATCTCCCTCACTGCGTGAGCATTCTTTCCAGCCAACATCTGTTTTCCAGTTTCTACAAAGAGCCACCCCATCTCAGAAGCAGCCCAGCTTGCTCAAAGGCTGCTGACTGAATTTACTTGTCTTAAGTGAGGCTTAGTTGACCACTTTTCATTTTTATAGCAACATTTTAAGGAAAGTTTATCTTTGCCCAGCCCCCTGCTATCTTAGCAGGAAACTGAGGGAGGGGAGAGGTGGGGGGGGGGCGGTCCAAGGAATATATATATTTTAAGACTATATCCATAAGAAGCCCATATCAGTGAAAATATATTCATTGCTTTCTCAACTTTTTATCTTGAAATTCGCAGAAAATTTGCTAAATAATTGAATACCTATATACCTTTCACCTAGGTTCATCAATTTTAATTTTTTGCTACATTTGGGGTGTATGTGTGTGTCTCTACATTAATGTATGTGTATACATACATATACTGATTTATATTTATACATATATATGTACGTATTGTTATTATTTACTGAATCATTTGAGAGTAAGTTGCAGATAATATTGACCCTTCCTCTCTCCCCAAAAAACTAGACATTCTCCTAAAAACAGGCACATTCTCTTACATAATTATCAATTATTCCTTATATGTAATCATAATTTTTAGGAAATTTAATAGTGATAAAATACTTTTATCCAATATACAATCCATATTCAGATGTCGCTAGTTGTCTCAGTACTGTCCTTTAGAGCAGTTTCCCCCTGATCCCGGATCCAGTCCATGATCATACATTTTATTGAATCCTCATGTCTCTTCAGTCTTAATTTGTGACAGTTACTCAGCTTTTCATTGTCCTTCATGACCTTGACATTTATGAAGAGCACAGGTCAGTTAAGTGGAATATCGCTCCATTTGTTGCTTCCTCTTTATTAGATTTAGGTTATGTATTTTGGCTTATTACTGCATAAGTGATGCTGTGTCCTTTGTGCATCTTACAGACAACATCAGTAAAGTATGCCCTTTATTGGGGCTGCCAGCTTTGATTCCTTGGCTAAAGTACAAGTCATCTCTTCTGTAAAGGGTTTTTTCCCTTTGTAATGTAATCAGTAATTTATTTGTGAGATATGACTCTGTAAATATCATGTTCCCCAAGACCTTTTCACCAAATGGTGCTGGCATCCATAGATGATTCTTACCTGTATCAATTATTACTATGATGGCTACAAAATGATGATTTCTTAACTCTTCTTCCTTCTGCATTCATTACCTGGCTTTCCAGTATAAGGAAGAGTTTCTCTATTATGTGAAAATATGCTCTAGATAATGAAAAATTTTTATGTATCTATTTTTCTTGAAGTCCTTAGTCTCCTCTCTGTCCTGTCTCCCAGCCCTTCCCTATCTCAGGGGCGAGACAGAGTGGACATTCCTTAAAAAGCTTTTATGAAGACAAAAGGAAAACCAGATAATTAACATCAAAGAGTTAAAAGAAGCAAGTAAATTTGGCAAATTGGCCATTCCTTGAGTTAGCTTACAGCCAGCTAATCAGAGGCCTCATCCCATTTCCACTCTGCAGCTGTGGCTCAGGTCAGGGGGCTAGCTCCTCCCTGCCGACTCCGACTCTGGAGGAATGAGAGCCTTTGCCTCATCTTGTAGGGCAAATTTGGGAGTCAGGTAGGAAGCCAGTGGATCCCAGACTCTTTTAGGACTCGTGACATTCATCTGCCCCAAGCATACCAAGAAGTTCAGAGTATCAGTCTGTCCTACATGACAGAGATAGTGTTCTGTTGAACAGGAGCTCCTGAGCATCTAGTGTGGGGTAGCAAATACCTAGGGATGTGCCACCTTTCTTCAATTTCACACATACATCAGTTATTATAGAATTCTTCCCACCAAACCAGAGCTCAGCGTTCTAGACATTGCCACCTACTGATCACACAAGATAAAATCATCTGCCTCCCACCCCTGATCTGATCCCTTCGGCCTTGGTTTTTTCTCAGGGCTCTAGGGGATAGGCAGTCAGGGTTCTGACCACTGATCTATGCCCACAGAGTGGACCCAGGCTGCATGAGCCCGGATGTGAAGAATTCCATCCATGTCGGAGACCGGATCCTAGAAATCAATGGCACACCCATCCGTAATGTGCCCCTGGATGAGGTATGGGTCCTGGGTCTGGGTCCTGAGCAGGATTTGAGGTGGTGCCTTCATGTCTGTCCCCCACCACTTGGGACTCACCTAGCCACATATCTGCTCTCTCCAGATTGATCTGCTGATCCAGGAAACCAGCCGCCTGCTCCAGCTGACTCTTGAGCACGACCCCCACGACACACTGGGTCATGTGCCAGGGTCTGAGCTCAGCCCCCTGGGCTCCCCTGTTCACACTCCTAGTGGGGAGGCGGGCAGCTCTGCCCGACAGAAGCCTGTCCTGTAAGTCATCCCTATGCCTTTGTGGTACTTACACTGACTGTATGCCTTGGGATGAGACCTGATTCTCACCCTTTAGTTGCACAGTCTGTGTGGGAGTTAGACCTGCAGAAAAGCAGACCAGCAGACAGGGCTAGGGACTGTGAAAGGGGAGGAGAGGATAACAAGAAATAGGAAAACAGGTGGGAGCAACTCCGCCAGCTGGGGATTACAGAGCATTTCCAGGGTGGGCCAGCACCACGGCTTCAGGAGCAGCAGGCGAGTAACTCAGGATGATGGGAGCATCAGATGTGGGTGGGGAGGGGTGGGTTCCAAAGCAGAAGCTAATTGCAGGGCTTTAGATATGGCAAGGGTCTTGGGGCTTTGTCCACCCATCATGGGGCCCCACTGGAAGGTGCTGCAGCAAAGTGATGTGTTTCACAGAGATCACTCTGGTCCCCTGTGCAGAAGGGTGCCCAGGACCAGAGACAACTAGAGGGCTGTTGTGGTCCAGGTTGGGGGTGTCCCGTACCCTCTTGAAGGGGGTCTAGGGGCACAAGGAAGGAACCCAGTGGTACCCTGTTCCTTACTCCACTTACTGTGGGCTTGCTCAGGACTCCCTGTAAAGATTTGGGGAAAGGGGAAGACCTTCTGGGGGACAGTCTTTAAAAAATAACAACGTTGAAGGCATGTATTTCCTTCTCGCCTGTATTTTTCTGGAGCTCAAGCCATCAGGCATGGCAGGGTCATGGGTTTCCTGGGCAGGTCGTGCGCCCTGGGACCCAGATGCTGAGAGACAAAGCATCTGATCCAGGGCCACCAAGCAGAGAAGGCCAAGGAGAAACATTCCTATCAAGGATACCTGAACCATAGTGGGCCTTGAACAGGAAGGGTACCAGGTGCTGGCATCAGGATGGGGTGAGTCATATGACTACCCAGGAGAGCTGCCCTGTGCCATCCTCTCGGAACAGGGACTGCAGTCTGGCATAGGTAGGAGCATGGTAGGCAGAAGGAAAGGGACACGTCAAGGCCTGGCCTCCCCCGGGGGGGTCTTGGCCAGGTGCCCACCTGCTGCTGGTGGCAGTGGGCATGTGTCTGCCCCTCCCCAGGAGGAGCTGCAGCATTGACAGATCTCCGGGTGCTGGCTCGCTGGGCTCCCCTGCCTCCCACCGCAAGGACCTGGGGCGCTCCGAGTCCCTCCGCGTGGTCTGCCGGCCACATCGAATCTTCCGGCCTTCGGACCTCATCCACGGGGAGGTGTTGGGCAAAGGCTGCTTTGGCCAGGCCATCAAGGTACGGGGCCTGATGGGCAGGGACAGGTCATGAGTGGGAGCAGGGGAGCAGTCCAGGTGGGACCCATCAGTCCTCCTGCCTCCCACCAGTGCCTCCAGGAATCCACATGAAAGGGGCTTCCAGACTCCCTGGCTAGTCCTTACCTCCACCAGGGCCTGTTTGAGCTAGCGAGGGGGAAGGGACCTATTCCAAGTAGACCCAGAACTTTATGTAGAAGAGGTTATTGGAAGGTGGCTCCTCAGGTTGGGGATGGGAGGGCAGCCCAGACCACACTGAAGGCCCCATGCTGAGCCTGATGTTGACCCCTCAGGGCCTCTGGGCTGCTTCCCCCTTCACATTCTCCCCAGGAAAGATATGAGCCCTTCCCCAGCTCTCATGTCACACTGGCTATGACTAGGCTGGAAGGTTCAGGATTATATGGAAGGTGCTGGCCAGGCCCACCCACATGTCCAGATAGGCCCTGGCCCCCAGTTCTTGCCCCTGGGCCCCTTGCAGGGGAGGATTTTATGGTAGAACTGCCATTCTACCTCAAGGAGACAGCCAGCAGAACAGGAGAAAGAAAGCTGGCCTCTGAGTCAGGTGGTCCTGGACCCAATCCCCAGCCACCCCCGTTCCTGCCAACTGGGTGACCTTGGTCCCTGTTAGGAAACCTCCCAGAGCCTCTCTCTCCTCATCTGTAAAAGTATTAAGTCCTACCCCCTCGAGGGCTGGGAGCATCACATGAAATGTCTTTGACGAGCTTGAAGCTGACTGTTCATCCCCCTGGCAGTTCTGGAGTGGGAATGGGGCCCCCTACAAAGCAGACTTAGAGTGGAGCCTCTGTCTGTATCCATGCCTCGGTGTCCCCATGCAGGTGACACACCGAGAGACGGGAGAGGTGATGGTCATGAAGGAGCTGATTAGATTTGACGAGGAGACACAGAGGACATTTCTCAAGGAGGTCAGTGAGTGGAACTGCACACCTGGCAGTTCTGGGGTGGGAATGGGGCCCCCTACAAAGCAGACTTAGAGTGGAGCCTCTGTCTGTATCCATGCCTCGGTGTCCCCATGCAGGTGACACACCGAGAGACGGGAGAGGTGATGGTCATGAAGGAGCTGATTAGATTTGACGAGGAGACACAGAGGACATTTCTCAAGGAGGTCAGTGAGTAGAGCCACACATCTTCTTCTCCAGACTTCTAGGACATGCTGTGGTCCCCACACCTTTTCCCCACTAAGAGTGGGTGGCAGAGGGCCCAGGAGGATGTGACACTCAAGCCACACGTTGAAAGAGGAGGCCCCTCCATCTCTGGGACCATCTCTGGGCTCTGGTGAGACAGTGGAGGGAGAAAGAGAACATGGGCACAGCCCCAGGCCCAGCCTGTTTGCTCCCCACCAGGTGAAGGTCATGAGATGCCTGGAGCACCCCAATGTGCTCAGGTTCATCGGGGTGCTCTACAAGGACAAGAGGCTCAACTTCATCACCGAGTACATCAAGGGGGGCACGCTCCGGGGCATCATCAAGAGCATGGTGAGTGCCAGGCAGAGCCCCGGGCAAGGCATTTCCCCCTCTGGGCCTGGCTCCTCGGCTCTTTGGTGGAGTCAGCCTCTATAAGGCCCACCGAACTGTGATTCGGAATTGAATAGTGTTGTGCTGTCTCCATCTGAAGCTTGGGAAAAGCCAGGACCCAGAGAACAGTGGCAGCTCCACCAATGGGATACACAGGCTGTTTGGGATCAGCTGTCCTGCAGGGCCCTAGGCCAGACCCAGCCGTATCTGCCACAGGTCAGACACCTGAGAAGAGGCAGCTTCTCATTACCTCTGCAGTAGGCCTTTGTTTTGCTTCTGGCAAAACCAAATTATTTTTTACTGTTTGCCATGTTCTGTAAAATTCAGAACTTTGAGGGCTTGAAGGAAATTACAAAGCCACCTTCAGAAATAAAGTGCTCAGAGGAGCGCTTCTAGCACTTTTGTGCTGCTGGCAGTGCCCTGGGTATCCAGTGCTAGTGCCATCTCAGTGTCACCCTGAGACCTTGATTTCCTGTCCCTCTCCTGCGGCTGTCGTTGATTCTTCACCCCTCAGCCGAATACCAAAGTTTTACCCCTACGGGCTCATGACCGATGTCCCTTCTCAGAAGGGATTCTGTGGTCAAATACGGTTTAAAAGCACTGGGCTTCACCAATTTAGGCTTCTTAACTGCACTCTGAATCCTTAGTATACCCTCCAGTGTCCTTGCCTTCACGCTGGAGGTCTCCAAGGGGATGAGGTGAGAGAAGGAAGCATTTCTCCAAATGACTGGAGCCCAAAGCCCTGCTCTCCTTAGTGACATGGCCGGCGCTCTGCAAGTGACCTCGCCGGACCCTTACATACCTGCCGGTTTGTGCAAGTAGGCTCAGGATTTTTAAAAACTTGAAAGAATGGGATTTCGTAGAAGATAAACAGAGATTTTCTCAGAGGTGGCGGATCAGAAACTATAGAGAAGTGTTCCTTCCCTCATTCTGAAATCAGTTCTGTTAGAAAATTGTCTTGAATTATTCACCCATACAAGGGGCTGATGTGGGTGCAGAAGAGAGCGGGGGTCATCGGACCTTCTAGGACACTTGCTCCTCCTGTTTCTCTTACCCAACTGTCCTGCCCCTGTGGCCCCCATTGGCTCCTCCTGGCCATTGTCGCTCTGCCCCCAGGACAGCCAGTACCCATGGAATCAGAGGGTGAGCTTTGCCAAGGATATCGCTTCGGGAATGGTGAGTAGACTCTGGTTCTGATTTGTAGGGTATGGGCTGGGTGATCCAAGCCCACTAACAAAACATTCTCTCCTGCTAATCTAAAATTCCATCCTGTGGCCCAGAAATGGAAGCCACAAGTAAGCTTTGAGAATGAGCAAAGGGGACTGAACGGAGAGTGAGAAGAGCACCCCTCACTGGCCTGATTGGGGTGGGAGGGGAGGTGGGAGCCTCGGGGCCAAGGCTAGGGTCCCTCAGCGGATTTGCCTCCTGATCTCCATGCCCCTCACCCCCAGGCCTACCTCCACTCCATGAACATCATCCACCGGGATCTCAACTCCCACAACTGCCTGGTCCGTGAGGTGAGCAGCCTGGGCCCGGGAGGGAAGGGACAGCAGGAGCCCTGCCCACCACATTCCTTGGCATGGGGCCTTCCCTGAACAGGGGTCCCTGGGTTGTCTCCCCCACTCCAGTTTGGCCCTTTGGGGAAGCAGCTCAAGGCCAGGAGGCAAACAGACCTCACTGTGCCATTTACTTGCAGTGTGGCTCCAGCATCACAGGTTATAGGAGGGTGTGAGGAATCAGTGAAGGAGAAATTGGTGCGTAAACTGTAAAGGACCATGAATGTGGCATTCACAGAGAATGGCCCACAGCAGAGTGGCCAGGCCTACACCAGGCAGTACCCACAGCTGCGGATCCAGAGGAGGGCTTGGGCATGTGGGCTGGGGTGGTCAGGGCAGGCTTCCTGAAAGAGGCTTTGGGGAAACATACTTAAGTAGGGGTAGTGGGGGCAGGGAGCCTGGGCTCAAAGAGGTGGTGACCAAGGACCACAGGCTGTTCACAGAAGGCAAGGAGTGACTGACTGACCGTGTCCAACTGGAGAGGTTTCCTGGGGCTGCCATAACAAAGTACCACAGACGGGATGGCTTAAAGTAACAGAAGTGTCTTCTCAGAGTTCAAGAAGCCAAAAGTCCAAAATCAAAGTATTGGCAAGGTTAGTTCCTTCTAGAGGCTCTGAGGGAAAATCTGTCCCGTGTCTCTCTCCTAGCTTCTGGCGGCTGCTGGCACTCCTCGCCATTCCTTGGCTTGGAGCTGCATCACTCCAGTCTCTGCCACCGTCTTCACATGGCTTTATTCCCTCTGTGTGTCTGTGTGCCCTTATAAAGGACACCAGCCATTGAATTCAGGGCCCACCCTAATCGAGTGTAACCTCATCCTAACTAATTGTATCTGCAAAGACCCTGTTTCCAAATAAGGTCACGTTAAGGTACTGGGTGGACATGAATTAGGAGGAGGGACATGATTCATGATGACACTGCAGGCTGGTTGAGATCCAGTCCTAGAGAAGGAGGTTCTCTAGGCAGGTGTTTGCCCCGCAAATTCAGTGCAGGAAGAGTGTTTGTGGTGGCGAGAACAGCATATGCAAAGGCCCAGAGGTATGAAATTCAGGAAGCGATAAGTTGCTCACTGTCAGTGGGAGTCCCAGCCCTCTGGGAATGTCAAGGCGGCTCCAGGATCCTCTGGGCTATGGGAAGTGAGCCCAGAGATGTGGGCAAGGCTATTCCCACGGACCTCCCAGGGAGCGAGCTTAGACTGCCCCTGCTGGAAATGAGGATCACTGCAGAGCCCAACCAATGTGGTGGGCAGAGTGAGGACAAGGTGGCCCATCGCAGCCTCTGTCCCACAGCAAGGGCCATCCCCTAGGAATCTGATGAAAATTGTGAGCTCTCCTATTCCCAGAATCCATCTGTGTACAGTCAAAGCCTTTGCCTATAATTTGGGGCCTCTGAGCGTCCAATGGTCACACTGGCTGGTTTCCCTAGAGCTGTTTCCCGTGGCAGGGTCTGCAGAACCCTATACCATTAGATTTTGGAGTACTCATTGAAAGTGCAGAGTCCTGTGCCCCACCTCAGGCCTTGTGAATGCGATGGGGCAGGAACCAGCACTTGAACAATCCTGGTAGACCCTGGCCGTCAAGAACCACTGCCTGGGTTTTCAAAGACCCCAGGGTCACGACCCCTCAGCTAACCTTCCACCTGGTATTACACCTGAGGAGACAGAGCCCTGAGCAACTTTGTCACCTGAGGCCTCATCGAGGTGGGCCCAGGACCCATATTCAGCCCCTCCTCTAGCCATCTTTGTAGAGTTTTCACTAGGTGACTCTCCACATTCGTGTCGCTCCCAGAAGCAGCACAGAGTCCATCCCTTTAGAGTGAGCATGGCTCTAATCCCCACCTGGCCACCTCAGCCTCTCTTGGCCCACTTGTTGGTGTCCATGCAGTAGTGCCCATTTCTGGGGCTGGCAAGTAGTGTCCAGAATTCCAGGGCCCTGGAAACCAAGCCTAAGAGGCCGGGCCCTGGAGCACTCAGAGGATCTCGCCAGCCCCGTGACTTGGCACTGTGCCCCAGCGCTCCCTGCCTGTTCCCCATCTGTCAGGAGGCCCCTCCCAGATTTTCCCATGTTGTGGGGTAGATGCAGTAGTCAGCATGTCCAGTCTGCAGGGTTCCAGGCTGAGCCCTGGGTGGGGCTCCTGTAAACTTTGAACAGTAGAGCCAGGCCTCCCAAGTTCTGGGTTTGAATCCCAGCCCTGTCACTGACCAGCGGGTGGCCTTGGGCAACTTTCTTAACCTCTCTGGGCCTGAGTCACCTGATTTGTCAAGTGGGGATAAAAATAATATTTACGTTACCAAATTGCTAGAAGATTAAGAGATAAAATAATAAAGAAATGGAGGAATGGGGCCACACTGCTGTTTTCAGTAGCTTTGGGTAGCTCCATTTGCAAAGAGCAGAGGAATTTGGGGAAGGAAAGGGGTCCCCACCCCGCACCTGAGCCCCTCTGAGGAGTGGGGTTGCAGGCTCCCAGTACAGAGGTGTCTGTCTGGATTGGTGTGGGGTCCAGGCTAGGAGCAGGTAGCAGGTGGTGCCAGGAGCATGCTCAGTGTCGCTCTGCTTCCTCGTCACTCCAGAACAAGAACGTGGTGGTGGCCGATTTTGGGCTGGCACGGCTCATGATAGATGAGAAGACGCATCCCGAGGACCTGCGAAGCCTCAAGAAGCCAGACCGCAAAAAGCGTTACACAGTGGTAGGCAACCCCTACTGGATGGCACCCGAGATGATCAACGGTGAGTTGGTGGCCCCACCTGTCATATCCTCCTGGGCCCAGGGATCCCAGGAAGAGCTGCAGCCACCCAACCCCTGGCCTTCTCAGCCCCTCCACTTCCTCTTTGGGTCCTGTATTTCCCATTGCTACTGTAACAAATTACCATACACTTGGCTTTAAAAACACAAATTACTGTGTAGTTCTGGAGGTCAGGAGGCCAGGAGGCCAATATTAGTCTCACTGGGCTAAAGTTAAGTGTCTGCAGGGCTGGTTCTTTCTGAAGGCTCTAAGGGACAATGTGTTCCCTTTCTTTTTCCAACTTCTAGAGGCCACCTCATTTCTCAGCTCATGACCCCTTCTTTCATCAAGGCTAGCAGCCTAGCATCTTCTCTCTGACATCTGTGTCCATTGTCACGTCTCTTTCTCTGACTCTGCCCCTCCTCCCTCTCTCATAAGGACCTTCGTGATTTTATAGGGCTCACTCGAATAGTCTAAGATACTGCCCCAGCTCAAGATCCTTAAATTAACCTTGCCTGCAAAGTCCCATGTAAGACAACATATTCACAGGTTCCAGGGCTCAGGACGCAGACATCTTTGGAGACCATTGTTCAGCCTAGGCAACCTCTCTTTCCCACTCCATTTCTTTCTTTCTTTAATTAAATTTATTGGGGTAACATTGATTAATACAATTATATAATTTTCAGGTGTACATTATAATTTCATATGTGTATATTCTCTTGTGTTCCATTTCTTTTTTATCAAGCCTGTCACACAGTGGTCCCATGTATGCCCAAGACCATGAGTTACAAAGCCCCTCCACAGACAGGTGATATGCAAACACAGGGTCAGGGCAGGCAGACAGTCATCTCAGTACCAGCTCTGACCAAAGTTAACATATCCCCCCAAATAACTTCAGTTCTAAAATGAGGTTAACAATCCCTGTCTTTAAGGGATAGCGTAAGGATTAGATAAGGTGGCAACCTAGGCAGCATTTAATAAATGAGAGTGGCTGTTTTGATTGTTTTTTACATCATGAAGTAGATGGTATTCTTTCTGTTTTACAGATGAGGAAACTGAGGTTCGGAGAGTCTGTATCAGTTCCTGAGGTTGCTATAACAAATCAGCACAAACTGGGTGGCTTAAAACAAGAGAAAGTTTTTCATATAAGGTCCTGGAAGCCAGAAGTCTGAAATCCAGTAGAGCCATGCTCCCTGCAGGGACTATAGTGAAGAATCTTTTCCTTGCTGCTTCTGGTGGCCATCTTGGTGTTCCCAGGCTTGTGGCCACATCAATCTAGTCTCTGCCTTTATCTTCCCATGGCCACCACCTCCTCTTATGTGTCTTCTCCGCTGTCTCTCTTATAAGGACACTTGTGATGGTATTTAGGGCCTGCCTAGGTAATCCAGGGTTATCTCATCTCAAGATCCTTAATCATATCTGCAAAGACCCTGTTTCCAATAAAGTAACATTCACAGATTCCAGGGGTTTGACATAGGTACCTTTCAGGGCCACCAGGAAGTCCATGACTTGCCTTGGAGTCAGTGACCGAACTGGCCTTAGGACCCTTTTCCCAGGGCTCTCGTCCTCATCCCCCAAAAGTTTGCTCAGACCTGATGGGGTCAGGAACAGAGCCTAGACCCTGATCTCATGAAGGTTGCTAGCATCTGCCTCCTGGCCCTGACTTTCTGGCCACGACATCCACCCAGCTGGCTGGTCCCTGGCCCAGCCCCACCCCCAGACCAGTTGGCATTCCGCGCCCTGCCTCACCTGCTAACAGTCAGTCTCTTTGTCCAGGCCGCAGCTATGATGAGAAGGTGGATGTGTTTTCCTTTGGAATAGTCCTGTGTGAGGTAGGTCCAGGGGTGGGCAGCAGTTGGCATCAGGCCTGATGGCTCCTCTCCATTTCCCAATCACCCAAACCGCAGGGGCTCCGGGCTACAGAGTCTCCTGGGAACTGAGCTGCCCATAGCAACCTGCATCCAGGCCCAGTGCAACCTGCCCTCAAACCTTCTTGGGTGGCCCCCAGCCCCAAGGGCCCTGGGTAAGTGCTGGTCTTCGTGTTGGACAGATCATCGGGCGGGTGAATGCCGACCCCGACTACCTGCCTCGCACCATGGACTTTGGCCTTAATGTGCGAGGCTTTCTGGACCGCTACTGCCCCCCAAACTGCCCCCCGAGCTTCTTCCCCATTACTGTGCGCTGCTGCGATCTGGACCCAGAGAAAAGGTGAGTAGTGGGGCTCAGCCTGGGGCTGCCTTGAGGGGTGATCTGTTCCCCAGCAGAGCCAAAACCCACTATCCGCTTCCCCCTCACCTGTTGCTCCAGGCCCTCCTTCATGAAGCTGGAGCAGTGGCTGGAGACCCTCCGCATGCACTTGGCTGGCCACTTGCCACTGAGTCCACAGCTGGAGCAACTAGACAGGGGTTTCTGGGAGACCTACCGGCGTGGTGAAAGTGGACTGCCTGCCCACCCTGAGGTCCCTGACTGAGCCCAGCCCACCCAACAGCCCCTGGCCGCACTCTGGGGAGTCCACCCTGCACCAGATTTCTCTGCAGGTGGTAGCCAGGTGTGGAGCCCTTAGCGGGCAGTGGGCACCCAGATCCCTCCCCAGCACCAGGCTGACTTGCCTTCTCCTACCCTGCGGGCTATGGCCCCTGCCTTGTCTCTGCCCGTGGCCCCAGAGCTGGCCTGGCTGCCCACACATCATCACTTCGCCCCTCCTTACCTCTGTCTCGGTGGGGCTGTCCCCTCACTTCTTCTTGCATGAGCTGGAGGGCCCGTGTGAGTTGTGCCCCATCCTGCACCCCACCGCCCGGCCATCCTGCGCACGCTCCACCTATCTGCAGCTCCTCCAAGGCTGGGCTGGAGTACAGCCTCAGACCGTGCCCTGTCACAGCTGGGCACATAGGAGGATGTGTGTCAAGGGAGAGGCCATGTTTCCAGGAGCCATAGAGGAGTCTGGGGCCCATCACCCCCCGAGGGGTATCTAGGTAGTAGCAGGTATTGATAACTATTCAAACCCCCAAAGCAGAGAGAGGTCCGCTCCTGCTGGGGGGATGTCCCTACTGGCTAGGCAGCAGCCTTCCTTACTTTGGGTCTTTTTGTTTCTTTATTGAATCCACTATAGCGAGAAGCAGGGAGTCCCTGGGTCAGAGCTGCTGGGAGGAGCCACAGAGGGAGTTTGGGCAGAGCGGACCAGGCAGGTGTCCACCAGCATTCCGGCCCCCTGAACTTCATCTCTGCCCCCTCCTGGGCCTCTCCTCAAAGCTCCCTGCAGTGGCTGGAGCAGCCCCTGCCCTTCCCCATGCCCCTCTTTTCTCTAGGTTCTTTCTGTGTAATCTATTTTTTAAGAAGAGTTTGTATTATTTTTTCATACGGCTGCAGCAGCAGCTGCCAGGGGCTTGGGGTTTTATTTTTTTGGCGGGTGGGGGTGGGGGGGCCATTTTGTCACTGCCTCAGTTGAGCATCTAGGAAGTATTAAAACTGTGAAGCCTTCTCACTGCACTTTGAACCTGGAAAACAATCTAAACATGCCCACAGGTCTGCAACTCAGGGAGGTGAGACAGTCACCTCCATTCAGGAATCGTAATGTCTAAGGAACAAAAACCAAACTCAGAACAATAAACTCAATTCTGTACTCCCCCCAGATCTGGCGTCACAGTGTGTGTCTGGGGGCACCCAGGAAATAGCACAAAAGCGGAGCTTTATGACTAGGAGCCCGTGGGAAGACAAGAATAGAGGGGCAGGTGTAGATAGGCAGAGAGAGGATGCAGAGGGCAGGAGCAGAGGTGGTGGCCCAGGGGGACAAGTGAAGACTCCCAAAGCTGGGTTTGGGAGTCCGGAAGAGCAGGAGGGAGACGCTAGGGAATGTATTGCTTTCATTTCGTTTTCTTCCTAAAACAAAGGGTCCAGTCAGGAAAACAAACCATACTAGTTATTTTAAATAAAGGGCATTTAATTGAGGGAATTGTTTGCACAGCTGTTTAAACAGTGGATACTGAGGTAACCTGGAGATGATGACTGCAGGAAACAGCTGTCACTCCTTGGTCAGGCATTTAAGAAAAGTGGAGGTGGCTTTAGTTATCTGATGTTGTACAACAAATCAGTCCTTAGACCCAGTGGCTTAAAATAACAGTAATTGCTCATTGCTCACCATTTCTCTTTTCAGGAATTTGGGGGCAGCTTGGGTGGGTGGTTTTGGTCTAGGATCTTTCCCGAGGTGGTGGTCAGATATTGCCTGGGGCTTCAATCCTTTGAGGAGGTGGCTGGGGCCAGAGAGTCCACTTCCAAGGACCCTTGTATGTGGCTTAGTCACATGGCCGCAAGTTGGCTCTGGCTGTTGACAAGAGGCCTCAGGGTCCTCTCCACAGGGCTTGTTGAGCGTCATGGCATCTCTAGGGTAAGCGTCCCAAGAAGGCAAAGCAGAAGCTCCACTGTCTTTTATGACCTTGTCTCAGAAGATGCACAGCATCACTTTCACCCTGTTTCATTGATCACATGGGCCAACCCTGACTCAAAGAAGGGAACTGCACAAGGCTGTGAATACCAGGACCGGAAGGGATCACTAAAGATTATCTTGGAAGCTGGCCAGGAACCTGGAGGGAAGAGCCCTATGGGACTAGTGCTTAGATTTTTCATTATGTGTGATGTGGGGAAGGGCTGGATTCCAAGCAGTTGGTGCTGGAACTTCTAAGAAGGTAAGTGCAAAAATGGTCAGTGCTGGAGTTAAAGGTCTGCTTCTGCCGACTAGTGCTGGAGGCAGAAGAAAGTCCCTTCCCTTCTTTCACTTTCCAGTGTCCCTCACCTGGCTCCTACTAGCATTCCAACCTTAATAGGAAGCCAGCTGGCAAGGAAGTCTGGGAACTATAGTTTCCAGCAGTCCAGTAACAGTATCAGAACAAAATGAAGTGGGCTTGGGGCTGAGATACAGTAAGTGAACAGCACATCCACCCCTTAGGCTATTCATCATCCATAAATACCTTTCTACTATATTCAATTTCCATACAACTCTAACAACCTCATGCTTCCACCTAACACTGCGCAAGTATCCTTTGTACAGAGATGAGTCGTTCCCTAAAAGGACAGCAAAGTTCTACAGTCATCATATCCATCACTGTTAATTCCAGTCAAAATTGCACTTAATTACTCTGTAACTGAAAAATAGTAAAGGTCATCATCATCAATACTTCCACATAAAATAAGGGAAGTAGAAGGAAAAAATAATTGATAGACACATAACAAGCAAAGAAGAAAATATGCAGAGCTGCTATAGTCATTGCTACAATTGATTGTGATGTCATAACTGATTTTGTAGCACTTATCAATGAGATAGTTCACATACAAGTCACCTACTTAAAATGTAAAATTCAGTAGTTTCTAATGTATTCAGAGTTGTGCAACCATCACAATTTAATTTTAGAACATTTTCATCACCCCAAAAAGGAGACCCTATGCCCATTAGCAGCCACTCCCCATTTCACCCCTCCCCCAGCCCTATGCAACCACTAATTTACTTTCCGTTTCTACAGATTTAGGTATGTTTTGGCCATACAATATGTAGTCTGTGACTGGCGTCTTTCACAACATATTTTTAGGGTTCATTCATATCATAGCATGTTATCAGAATTTAATTCCTTTTTATGTAGAAAAATATTCCACTATATGGATATACCACTATTCATCACTCATAGACGTGTTGATAGACATGTGATCTGTTTCCACTTTATGGCTACTATGAATAATACCACTATGAACAATGGTGTACAAGTTTTTGTGAATGTATTCACACAAGTTTTTGTGTGAATTTTAATTACACTCGGTTGTCTACCTGAGAGTAGTAACTCTACTTTTAACTTTTTGAGGAACTTCTAAATTGTTTTCCACATTGACTTCACCATTTTACATTCCTACCAGCAGTGTATTAGGGTTTCAATTTCTTCATGTCTCACTAACACTTATTTTTATTATAGCCAGCCTTTTGGGTGTGAAGTCGTATCTTATTGTGGGTTTGATTTGCATTTCCCTAATGACTAATGATGTTGAGCACCTTTTCTGGGACTTATTGGCCATTTGTATATCTTCTTTGGAGAAATGTCTATTCAAGTCCTTTGCCCATTTTAAATTGGATTAATCTTATTATTGAGTTGTAAGAGTTCTTCAAATATTCTGGATACAGTCCCTTATCATATGTATGATTTGCAAATATTTTCTCCCATTCTGTGGATTGTCTTCTCACTGCTTTGATAATATCCTTTGATGTACAAAAGTTTTAAATTTTGATGAAATGTACTGATTGCTTAAAAGACACAACCAAAACTCACCAAGGAATAAACAGAAAATGTGACTAATTTACTAAAAGAGTTAATTTGTAGTTTAAAATCCTCAGAAAAGGAAAACTTCAGGCCCAGATGGTGTCACTGGCAAATTCAAAGAAGGAAAAACACTAGTTCTACACAACCTCTTTCAGAAAATAGAAGAAAAGAGAACACTTATTTTATGAGGTCAAAATTAACCTGAATCAGATACAGACTGGAAGAATTTACAAATCATATATCCAACAAAAGGCTTTATACAGAACATAAATAACTTGTCAAAACTCAAAAACAAGAAAAACAACCCAATTTTTTAAAAATAGGCAAAAGATTTTAACAACCACTTCACCTAGAAAGATATACAGATTCCAAACAAGCACATGAAAAGATGCTTTACATTATTAATTATTAAGGACGTACAAACTAAAACCATTATGAGATTCAACTCACACCTATTAGGATAGCTAATATTTTTTTAACAATACCAAGTGTCAGCGAGTATGGGGAACGACTGGAGCTCTCATATATTAGAGGCGGGAATGCCAGATGGTACAGTCATTGTATTCCTAAGTCACTCTGTATCCCTACAAAGTTAAATACACCATATAATTTATCATGTAACCCTGCAATCTCACTCCTAGGTATTTACCCTAGAGAAATTAAAACTTACATTCACAACACCAAAAAAAATTTTCTTAACCACATAAGTGCATTGATGTTCTTAAAAGCTCTAGTCATAATTGCCAAAATCTGGAAACAACCCAATATCCTTCAACAAGTGAATGAATAAACTGCAATAAATTCATACAGTGGAATACCACTTAATAATAAAAAGGAATGAACCATCGATACATGCAACAACATGAATAAATCTCCAAAAGCATGGAGATTTATTCATGTTGCATGTATCGACGGTTCATTCCTTTTTGTACATAACATTTTGAGTCAAAGAAGTCTCAAAATGTTACATACCAAAAAAAATGTTATATACACTATTATTCCTTTTATGTGACATTCTAGAAAAGGCAAGACTATAGGGATGGAGAACAGATCGATGGTGGCCAGGAATTAGGGGTAGGGGAAGGATTTGACTACAATGGAGCAGCATGAGGGATTTTTTTAAGGGGGATAGAACGGTTCCGTATCCTAATTGTGGTGGTTGTTAAATGAATCTATAAATGTGCTAAAACAGAACTATAAGCAGAAAAAGTCCATTTTACTCTACGTAAATTTTTTAAATAACAATTTTTTAAAATCTAACCAAAGCAGATGACAAGTCAAGACAAAAATGTGAAAGTAATATAACAAAGAATTCTGAAATACATAGTGTTCCTACCAAAAAAAATTTGTCAGACTGGATTAGGAAAATATATATATGCTGTTGACAAAACACTAACTTGAAATGTGATGGTATAGACATTAAAAGTAAAAGGATGGGAAATGATATACCACGCAAATACTATTTTTTTTTTTTTAAAGCTGGACTGGCTATGTTTAGATTAGATTAGATTAATATCAAAGTAGACTTCAGAGCTGGGAAAATGATTAGGGATAAAGAGAGAATTCCATAATGATAATAGTCAACTAACCAAGAAGACATAACTATCCAAAACGTGTATGCATCTAAAAACACTTTTGAAATACATGAAGCAAAAACTGCTAGTAAAAATAGACATCACACAAACACCAACTTTACAGCCACATGAAGTAGTACCTTTGAAGTGGATACTCCAGTCTTCAGCTGACTGCAGCCCCTGAGCCATAACTATCCAGATGAGCCACTCCTGAATTCCAGACCTTCGGAAAACTGTTAGGATTAAGTGTTTGTTGTCATTTTAAACCACTAAATTCTAGCGTTAAGTTGTTACACAGCAATAGATACCCGATATAGCTACCATAAAACCTCTCTGGTTCTCTGACCATGGCTTGAGCTGGGAATTTAAAGCCCCAAGCTAATCCTTTTTCTGCAACTCTGCAGTGCCATCAAAAATAGCCCGCCTCACCGTTCTTAGAGTTTTCCTTAGCCACTTGTTTTCACATGGCATTGGATTCAATAGGCACTTCAAGTCAAGCAACCATGAGTGGTAATTCGATTATCTGAGATGTCTCTTTATGCCAGAGGATACCAGAATCCCATCTACATTGGCAAGGCGCTCAGCACCAAGTTCAAAGGTCAAAGACATAACCAAATAAATTTCACAATCCTACCTATGAAGGTCTATTTCTCTTATCAGCTGTCTTCCTTCTAACTTCTGACAATAAGAAACAATAAAGGGGCCTCAGATGATGGACACAGGGGAGAAAGACTTCCTTCCACTTTTCCAGGGATTGTCTA